TCATCTGCAAATAATACTATATCATGGTTATCTCCTACTATGTAAGGTAAGTCATTAATGTATACAAGAAACAGAAAGGGGCCGAGAATTGAGCCTTGAGGCACGCCCATTTGTACCATCGATCCGGAAGAGCTCATATTGTTAATGACAACTTTTTGCGTTCTCTTACTTAAATATGAAATAATTAATTTAAGGGCATCACTTCTTACACCGTAGTGTTGAAGTTTCCTGATTAATGTTTCATGGTGGACACAATCGAAGGCCTTGGATAGGTCACAAAATATACCCAAAGCATCCTGTGAATTCTCCCATGCATTAAAGATATATTTAATCAGCTCAACACCGGCATCAGTTGTCGAGCGACCCCTTGTGAAACCAAATTGATTTTTATGAAGTAAATTATTTATATTAAAAAAATTTAACATTTGATCAAGAAAAATTTTTTCAAAAATCTTACTAAGTGTTAGTAGTACAGAAATAGGTCAAAAATTGGCGGGGTCTAATGTACTACCAGATTTAAATAAAGGTATTACTGGTAAGGTGGTTAAAGGTGTGTAATGATAACTTTTGCCCCTATTCAACCGTGACCCCACGACATCCTCTACATGATAAGCTATTCAAACTGACTATGCCTAAAGTTCGAGCCAGCCATCAATATTAAAAATCTTTTATGTTTTAAATAAATAGATTGACTTTTCCATCGCATGAAAACAATGTATCTCACAAGTAATACATATTATATTAAATTAGATTGTTTAGTGCGATTGCCAAGTCAATCTATTTATTTAAAACATAAAAGATTTTTAATATTGATATGGTCACTATAAGATGTTGTTAGGTTAACTAAATACGTAATAACTTGAGACAGAAGGACCCTTAAGTAGGGACTGAATAAATTAACCGACTTGGTATTACATGGATTTCACAAATTTTTACGGTGGAAGAACTGAGTTGCAAAACTTGTTTTTTTTACAAGTTATGTTTTTGATGGCATCTCATTTCTTTTTGTAGATTGTCCTACTTTTTTTCCTTTCCGGAACCATCTACTTCTTGAATATCAACTATGGATTTTCGTGCAATTTAGTCTACTTAATACTTTGAGGGATTTTGGTATAATTTCATAAGACATGCTTTTTCACTACGTTGACTGTTTTACAAGTTACCTTTGAATATAATTATATCTAGGTACTTATCTACATCTATTATTCCATTATATTATACATATACAGGTACACTAATTCATTCACTGCAAATGTAACTTTGTAATCCCATATATTTATATAGGATTACAAAGTTATTTATGCTGTTAGTGTATCTAGAAAACTGGACGGAAATTACACAATACTTTAGTTTTTCCTTGATTTATACACTAAACACTAATTGTATTTTAAATTTCAAGCTTCTACGTCTGCTATAAGTGCCTTAGTTTCGATGATGGGTCAGTCAGTGAGTGACAAAATTAACTAACTTTGACTAGTTATAATTCTTAAATTACTAGTTCAAATTGAATGAAATTGAAATATACCGTGTTTATACAATGCATGCTTGATCACTGAAAATTCAGGCTTTTAGTTTTATCCACAACGAAGTTATAGGGTTTCGAAAATGGCCTGAACTGCTTCGAGAAAAGGATGGTACAGCCGTGCGGCTTGTTTGCTCGACTTGGCGGGGGCATTGCCGTGCACCCAGATTTGTGTTTTTGCACAAACATTGCTTTCTACGTAACACGTAGTCAGCACGGAAGAGAAATACCGTAAGGAAACTTGCATGCCTGAAAAATTAAAAACAAAAGTACAGCATAGCAGATTGCTTGCAGCTTTGGAACTCTATCAAAAATATGAAGAGCTTGTGTAGGCTGTCATTTTAGATACTTTAAATATATAAACATAGCATCACGCCTGTTATCCCCGAATGAGAAGGAAGGCAGAGTCCAAATAGTAACAGGCTACTTCAAGTTTATCCAAAAATTATATATGGAATATATTGGTGTACAGATGGAAAATTGCGAGAGAAGGTTGCTAGTTCATCGACTACAACACAACCTAATATTATCCCATTATGTGCTTTTTACGAGGCCAGGCATGTAGCACAGTTGGCAAAATCTTTCTGTGTTGTAAGTATATCCCAGTCCAAAAAGGGTTTATACAAACTTCGAATATAGGAATTAATAAATATTTTTTTTTTATAAATAAATTGGTTTTTGTCCACATACAAATTTGTATGTAACACGACCCCACTATAGAGGAAAAAACCTAGTGTTAAGTGGGGGTAACGTTTTTAACAAAAATATAATAAAAATAGTAGACTAAATACATTTTAGCGACATTAGCTTAGTGGTTTGCCGTACGGTTTGTAAAACTTGGTGTAAAAATCCAAGCATTTAGGCTAACTTTTGCTTGATTAATTATAGAAAAATAAACTAATCTTTAACAATATTGCTTCAGGAGTATCGTTTGTCTACAAATGATAGTTAAATATTAATGAAAGAATAAATAATTTAAGTAATTAACTTAAATGATAACGATATAACGCGACGTCATTAACCACAAGGTAATTGGATCATTCTGAAACGATAACCAAAATAAAAAAAAATACTACAAATATCAAAATTTTAAAGGAAAAAAAAATTAGGCTCTCTTTCATGGCTATACTGAATCTTTTCAAGTCCCTTGGAATAGTAATGTTCAGCACATATCACTATTCATTATCTATTAAGGTGTCATATAATCGAATAAGTAAAAGATTCTCAAGGACCTTGAAACCCTCGGTAAATATTGGCTTAAAATGATTTTGCTAACTACCCAAATTCCATTATTTTAATATGCTAAGGTACCCAAGTACATGTTCAGTTGTTAACATAACATCATAACATCCTTCTATTACTACGGACAGGGCTATCAAACCTTTTTCTAACCTATGCTCGTAGTATTCCGTTGCATATCCTTTTTTGTCTTCTCGTCCTTTCCTTTACCTTAATTAATTCAGGAAGTCTTCCAGCAAGCTGGGTCTATTTTATTAATCTATCTATCTAGCCTGTAAGCCTAGATTTATAAAATAGACCCATCTAATAAATATACCTTTTGAAAAACCCTGTTTATTGGACCAATACTAACGTCGTGATTCTTAATAACCCTTTATATCAATAAGCTAAGTTCAAACTAACTTACACTAACATTTTGTAATGACATCTAAAACAAATCAATATTTAATTAAGTTTTGATAGTATTTAACGATACTGCTAAATTATAATAGTTTCCACAATGATTAGTTAATTATAGTGTTTGTGATGTCTTGTACGTTATTAATTAATGCTCTTAAAATGACTCGTATAAATAAGACTTAATTATATTTCGATTCTTAGTTGTGATACGTATTCTTAACAAAGGATCACGTTTTCTTTCTAAGTTTTATTTAAAAATTTATATATACATTTGAAAACAGTGAAAAATACAAGATAATTCAAATGCACAATTGAGATTTTCAAAAAACGTAAGTAATGAAAATCATAAAAATCGATTTTACTGAATTTTGTACGTAAAAATCAGTTTATTTATTTCGTAAATATTATAAGATATTATCCAATACTGTTGTTTATAAGATTTAAAAATTATGGTGATGTCTTCTGCCTAGAGAAGATTTTTACAAAAATAAAATAAAGTTTTCGTAACAGTTATTCATAGTTTGTATTACGTATGCCATTATTGTTTCATACTTATGTAATACTAGTAATACCTGAGATCAAAATGTTTGCATTTAATTGGTTAAAGCCTTTTATATGGAAAAACCATGTATATATTCACTTAATTTTATCTACCTTAACTGCAACATACATTTTTTATAGAATAAGGGTGACAAACGAGCACACAGTCCACCTGATGGTAAGTGGTTGCTGTGGCCCATATACATCTACATCTATCTTCGTTTGCGAATTAAAATGCAGATGCGTTGTCAGCCGTGAGGACTAGATGGACTCTTTTCCAGTAAAAAGGGTCCCCGGTTATCTACACTTACCATTCGAAACACAGCAGTATTAAGCTGCTGTTTTACGCTGGTATTCTGCGAAAGCGTGGTCCTTACTCGGTCGAGCCGACCCATTCATGCTACAACTATACTATTAGTATTACTGCAGCATGGCTCTACCACGTATAAAAATACATAAATAATTTTGTTTTTGCCCACATCTTTTGGCACAATACCTCTCAAATGATAATTTCTTTGCTCTTCCTTTCATCGAAAATTGAAGTCTTACTATAATATTAATCTACTTAATATTAATCTTATTTAATAGTATCATTGTATATATTGAGTACTTTTTTAAAAACCGCTTAGTTGTTTTATATTTTTGTCATGAGATTATTATACGTTTTAAAGTTAAGTAATTTTGTAGACATAATAAATATGTAGGTAGGGTAACACATATGAAATATTTATAATGACGTTTATTCATTATAGAAGTCATAAAATTCGGTTTTCAAACTTCCTTTCACCATCGACATATCGGGAAGTCGCACATAAAATGGCCACTTTTGTGGTTTTGAATATCTTGTAATTGTTTATTTTAAAAAATACGCTTGTAACATATTGTTAAGGTTTTCTTTATAAAGCACTTATGTTTTAAATTATTTAAAATATTCAAATTAACTTCGCAGTAGAATTATGTTCAGTTATATTATTATGGTTGTAGCACGAATGGGTTGATTCGACCGGGGGAGGATCACGCTCTCAAAGAATACACTATATTTACATTTAGCATTGCTATTTAGTTGCAAAAATAGGTAAAAGAGAGGTACCTACCCAAATGGACTCCAAGCAGCAAAGGAAGCCTGGTAAGCGGTGTAACTATGACAAAGATTCCCTTATGAGCAAAACTATGAAGGTTTCCTATGTTCAGTAATGTACTTTTGATAGGCTGTTATACGTGAATGAATAAAAATTTAATATTTGTGTCTATGTATATATCTATTTATTATTATTAAAATAATTCGTTTTATTTCTTTCAGATGAACTGCCCACTTAACAACGGTCTCAAAAAAGCTAAGCGAGTGAGAAGCGCTTTCACAACGGATCAAATACACGGTTTAGAAAAAGAATTCAAAAAGTTTCCATACATTGGTGTTGTTAATCGTAAAGAAATAGCAAAGTCTTTAAACATATCAGAAAGAGCTGTTAAAATATGGTTTCAAAATCGCAGAATGAAAGAAAAGAGAGATGCTTTCCAAAAGGAATTTCGTAATTACGACCAAATTCAAATTAATGCGAAAAAATTTGTTAACGATCAATTAAATAATGTGAATACAATGAAATCAAATGACGAACGAAATTTGAATTCCACATTATTACAATCACATTCAAAAACAAGTTTTAACAAATTGGGCGTCTTGGATTTAATTGAAAATCATGAGAGAAATGAAAACGAAAACAAAAGTAAAGATGATGTAGTACCATCACATTACTTTCAAAACAATACAGTTACAAGTAGCACCAACGAAAGTAACACTACCGGAGAGTTCTCAATACAGTTATTAAAGAAATATAAAAATAATTTAAGACCGTGCGCTACTAAACAAAAATCTAGACAAATTATTTCCGCACAAACAAAAAATAATGTCACTCCTCAAATAAAAAATAATCAAATGCCCCGAAGAAATGATGTCATTCCACAAGGGAGAAATAATGTTGTGCCTCTAGTAAGAAATAATGTGGTTTCGCAAGTAAAAAATGATGTTCCCCGAGTAGGATATAATTTTCCTCAATTAAGAAATAGTGTAGTTCAACAAGTAAGAAATAATATCATACCCCGTTTAAGGAAAACAGTTCATCCACAAGTCAAGAATATTTCGACAGAAAACTGTAAAACACATGGAAAAAATAAAAAATGTCAAGAAGCGTGCCGAAGTTCACACGCTATGTCATCAGGTCAAGAACAAAAGTTTGCAAAATTTCCTTCGGGATACGTTCAGTTATACCCTCAAAATTGTTATCCACCATCTTGTATGTCAGCGGGAATACTATGGAAACCTATTGATCCAGCAGATTTGTCAGCTGCAATGCCTATGAATGACTTTTCTATGATACCCAATGCACAAAATTTGTCAATTCCAGTTTCGCAACCTATGAATATGCAGAGAAATAAATGTTTATGTAATTGCTATAATATGAACCATCCATCGAATACTGCCACCTTTCCACGTGAAAGAACGTCTAAGCTGCAATATGTTATAGCAATACCTTTTCACGAAACACCTGCTCATTTTAGTGCTCAGAATTAGTAAATATATGATATTATCACCCACGTTAATTATTTATTTATTCTATTAGTTGTTGAATGTAACAAAATGTTGTATTGTTGTTAATGAAAATTTAAATTTGTTAATAAAAGCGCATATATTTTCATAAAATAAAATTTATTTATACCATTTTTATTAATTAATTATAAAATTATTTTTAACTTAAAATAAAAATTAACATACTTTTTCTTTCCTTTAAATTTATACAGGCTATAACATTGATAATAAATTTTAAATTATAATTAAAGAATATAAATTATTTTTGATAAATAAACAAACACATAAGTAAGTTGCAACAAGAAATAGGTAGCGTTTATAGAAAGAAATAAGAATTGGAATTTTATAAACGTAGAAGAAAAACATATTGGTCGAAATTATTTGCGTTGCTTAGTCCATTTTTTAAACTTGATACTATTTAAATATAATATACAATTAATTATAAAAACATTGAAGTATATTAATAATAAAACAATATCAGAATAATTCTTAGGCTGATTTTTCAATCATCAGATAATAAGTTATCCACCAACTAAATTATAACTTGATTAAATACAAAAGTGAAACAATTAAACTTAAATTTTTCCTATGAATAACTTTTATCTCATGCTTGAAAAAATAACTTATCCAGTCGAATGGTACTTCCTCATATTTTGAAGTCGGGAAAAAATCAGTCCTATGTGAAGTAAATTAAGTATTGATTATGAACTTTAAAAATCGTACAAAACGTTCTCACTACATTTAATAAATAACTGGTAAATATTAAATACATTTAGTAAAAATAAAAAATAAGAAATCCGCTATTAAAATACTCACTTCACTGTATCTTTATTTAATTTTATTTAAGTACATATGCACTATAAATATTTTAAAGGAAAATTACCTTCTGAGCACAATTGTGTCTCGCTATTGTAATACTGATTATATGGTGGCGACATGAAATTACATTCATTTTGAATGTTTGGATAATACTGCGTTGGATAAACATTTGTATCATTCTGAAAAGAATAATGTATATATTGAGAGTTATTAAAATGTTGCCGATTCATTTCTTGAAAATGTAAAAACTGATTTTGTTCTAAAATCTTTTGTTCATAATCTTTGCTAAAATAATAAGATTTCATTGTATGCTCAGCGTTCAAATAATTTGTAGGACACTGTGCTTTCTGTGTTTTAAAATCTTCAGTATGTGCTGAAGTTGAAAGGGATACAGAATCAGCATGGCCTTCACTGGATGAGTCACCACTCGATTCAGAATTATCTTTCTTCTCCTTCATCCTTCTATTCTGGAACCAAACTTTGACACACTTTTCTCCGAGGCCTAAAACTTCCGAGAGCTCCCGACGACGTTCACGGTCGATGTATTTCGTGCGAGAAAACGTTCTTTCCAATACTCTAAGCTGCTCCGTAGTATAAGATGTGCGAATTCTTTTGTTTTTCTTTTTTATTGTTCTTGTAATATTAGTATCTAAAATTATTTTAAAAACAATTATTTATTAAAACAGTAACTTAACTATAAATAGTAATTTTACCTTGCGAAATCTTTATAAAATTATTTTTCAAACCCAAGTTTTCTCAAGTAGTCTCAATTTCAGCATATATTGGTGTATTCCCACAGTCGCCTCTCGAGAAAAGAAAATGGGGTGACGAATTCTCTTTCATCAGTAACACACAGTTCGAGCAATTAATGATAAGTTACTAAAAATATTTACCTAAGTTCGTTTTTCTCACAACACTAACGACAATGACTGCAATTACTTTGTGTCAATGCAGGTAGGTAGATTTTCTACAAAGGTTTTAATGTATTTTCAATATACCTAATAAGTAACTCGACTGAATGATACCAAAATGCATCCAGTGTACCTGGATTCAGTCCAGTCCTGCGTTTGAATCCCAACATTAATAATTATTAGTGTGAGGATAAAGTGTTTTTGTCGTAGTTATTGAATCTTATTGTTTGATGGGATTGGTCTGACTTTCTAAGTGCTTTTTTCTCGTTACCCTTATCCCAGGAATTTCTTCTGTATCGTGAGGGCGTTTATCATATAAAAATTGTAAAGAGATTAACATAAAGATTACTTATATTTAAGCATATACAACATATTGAATAAATATAATAAACGCAATAATATCCATAAAATTAATTTTATTCCAAGTATAATTTTATGAAAATCGTATTAACCGTATAATCTTTGCTCGTTTTTATCAGGCGACACATTTGTAAATGGCCTGTTTTCCCAACAATCGATCTGTAACAAAAAGCTTTATTAAATTTAACGGTTAGTAAAAATAAATCAGAAAAAAAAATCAGTAAAACGTAAATGTCTTAAAAAATAAAATAAAAGCCTTAACCACATTCCTAATGAGAATAATATCGGCGAGTTACAACAGCATTCTGAAATCGGTGCTGAAGTCTCCAATCACGTAGCATTTTGTAAGCAGCATGTTCAACTAACGCATCTTACTTGATTAACAAAAACATACTTCATTAAATAAATTTAGGATGAAGATGACAGGTGAGCACACAGTACACCTGATGGTAAGTGGTTGCTGTAGCCCATAGATATTTACATCTATCCTCGTTTGCGAATCAAAATGCAGATGCGTTGTCAGCCCTGAGGACTGACATAGAATGCTTCTTTTCCAGTAAAAAGGGTCTCCGGTTCTCTACACCCACCATACGAAACAAAGCAGCATTAAGCTGTTATTTTACGCTGGTATTCTGTGTAGACGAAAAAATTACCAATACAATGAATATTTATCGTTCAAAATAAAGAACGTTATAAATTAAGTTTTCTCACGGATAGGAAAAGGAGACTCGTGGTCCTCCCCGGTCAAGCTGACCTGTTCATGCTACAATCATAATATACCTGCAGCTGCAGCATGGCTCTATCACGTACCAAATATGTAAACTCATACTATTCCTTCTTGCTTCTAAAAACATTACATCACACAAGCATGTCTCGCGATAAACATCCGGTATTGTTAAAAACTTTTTTTAATATTATTATTAATTATAAAATTTTATTTTCTGCGATTAAAATTTAGTGCCCTTCGTAAACACCAAGAACAGTTTTCAGGATCCCAAGAACTGACAATAGCTGGGCATAGGATAGGGGCTTTATAATGTTTTATTCAATCTCTGTATAGTATAAAACAAAGTCGCTTCCCGTCTGTACGCTTAGTTCTTTTAAACAACGTAACAGATTTTAAAGCGGTTTTCATCAATAGACAGAATGATTAAAAAAAAAGTTTATGTGTATAATACATGGATATCATATGTTATATCATTTTTCTGTCCATGTGTATGTGACTGAAGTCCTTCTAAACGGCTGGACCGATATTGATGAAATTTTGTGTAAGATTAGGTTGATTAGAGAATGGTTTAGATTCACAATTGTCAGTTGTGTTCTTGTTGAAATCCTGAAACCTAGCGTGCGAAGTTAGGTGGATCGCTAGATAATATATAAATTATTCTTAATAAACCTGCATAGTTTGTATAGTACATGTCAAGGAAAAGTAACAGTAGATATACGTCTTGCTGCTGGGTACGGCCGGCGCCAATTTCACATTTCCACAAAATATTATTTCTCGTACAAAAAACATATTTGAATAATTTGAGAAATAAAAATATTAAAAGATCAATCACAAAATATTTTTATAATCTCAAACATTAAGGTTTTCTCTCGAAGTTTTCGGTAGGGGACACCGAGCACGCATGTAGTAAATCTGCAGCTAACACTTTCAACGGTGACGGTGGTAAACAAACTTGCTTTGTTTGTGAACTATAAAATTTTAAGGTGACGACATACCTAATAATATTGTACATAAATATACGTCAAAAACTTAATTAAAAAAATAATGGAATTTGATTTATTGTGGTCTACCAAAGTCTACTGCTGATCATTGACCTTCCTCATAGATTCCCTTATAGAGGGGATAGTTGCCATAGTTTTCGCTTGGCGGGCGGGTTGACAACTGGAGTTTTTATAGGTAGTTGACGTTGTTCGATTCGAGGATGCCACTCCAGAACCGGCCGGCTTTCTGTCACTTCGGCTTAATGGTCCTTTGGGCTATGTCGGATACTCTGGTTCTACTGCTTGCTTTGAATATTCTCATTTCCAAGTCTGTCACTCAGAGAAACCCTGAGCATAGCCCTTTATGACTTGCTAAGCAACCTCGAGCTTCCGCATACGGATACTATTACGTTTTCAAGTTTTGAGGTTTAAGAGGAAATGCGGGCAGAGATACATTTAAAAATTAGGAATTTGAAGAAACTATCGCTGTCGCTCTGCGAGCTCTCGGCGTCCGATAAGGACAACTGCAGATCCGACTGAATAGCCTAAGTAAAAAACCATAATTCGAGGTTTGGTTATATCCCATTTCCTCCTCCAACATTGTACCAATTTAAAAGATATTTCATAAACTGAATAAGAAAGATATACACTGTGTCCCTACGCTTTTTGTTTTTTCAGTATTAGTTATCAAATACTGGGGGTATTTGCCATAGTTGCTACGCTTGGCAAGCGGGTTGGCAAACGCAGTTTTTTTTTTAATTTTAGTCGTTATTAGGGAGACGCTGCTGCCCACCTCCTGATTTGTTGCCTTTTGTCGTCTCTTACGACACCTATGGAATGATATGGGGTAGTGGATTATTCTTACACCGCCACTACACGGTACGCGACACTCCCGTGATAATATTATTATTATTTATTTTAAATGCACACATAACAAAAACATGCATGGATTAAATCTATACAAATAAATAAAATTGTGTAAATAAAAGTGTCTGTTTGTAATGTTAAAATTACAGTGTTTTACTAAATGCATAGGAAAGTATAAATGGTACTTATAACAAAAATACACTTTTTAAAATTTTTGTCTATCTGTCTGTCTATTTGTTCTGGATAATCTCCGAAACGGCTGGACGGATTATGACGGGATTTTCACTGGCAGATAGCTGATGTCATAAATTTAGGCTACTTTTATTTTAGAAAAATAATTAGGGTTGCTCGCAAAAAAATTAAAACCCTAAATTGCACGCGGGCGAAGTCGCGGGGAACAGCCAGTAAGTAATATAAAAAAAATATTGTATTATTGCTGATAGAAATTTCTTCCAGACAGAAAATTTTAGTTTACTTACTTTATTCTGTAATTGTTTATTGAATAAAAGAATTATGTTTAACCAAAAAAAAAAAAACTATAACGTTTAATATTTTCTGAAAAGAAATACGTATTCACTTGTTATTTTACATTCTGTATTGATGAAATTATTCATCAGATTGTATTTCACTTCAAATTTTAATCGATCATAATTGCAAAGAATGTGGCATTACTTTTAAAAATACCTATATGTAACGAAATTAGAACATTCGTAATATAAAAATGACTAAAGAGAAATTACAGAAAATAATTAGTATATTAAGTGATATTCTTACCTCATTTATGTTACTTAAAGGAGTCAGAGTAGTCATTAATACGTTGTGGAACATAATTAGCAATAATAATTATAATTAAATTAATTATTTCGATAAGTCACACTTTAACGACGAAGCAAGAACTGTGATGCAATTGCAATGATACAAAATGGATTCTACGCTAAGTATGATTTCATATTACCTTCATTTTGTATTAGAAAAATACGAAATACGAAAAACAGTGTTTTTTATTTCATATTATATAGTACATAGTAATTGCCACTAACTGTTGTACGCAAAATTAACAAATTTTTAGTGTGAATGTCAATGTATGTTATTCAATGTAATAAATAAAACTCATTTAAGTTATTAATGCACAAAAAACCCTAAGAGGAAATTATGCTTCAAATCTATTTTTCGCTTAGTGATAATATATTTAACCTACAGGGAAGGTTAAAGTTCAGTACCGAATTATTTTACTTGCAAGTAATTTCGTGAAGCCGTTTTATAAACTTTTTTTTTTTTTTTTTTTTTGCGCCCGAAGCAATTGGAAAAGGGCTACCCCGAAGGGAGGCAGAAAATGCATTACGCATACCACGATGGCCGGTCCATCGTGGTTATGAGGGACTCACTACCTACAAGGGGGAACCTAAGTGATACCCTCTAAAAACTGCCTTTGGGGACTGGCAACCAGCTGTTGAAAGCTTCACATGCCGTATCGTAAAGCGACCCTCTTTTGGGAAAAGAGGGCGCAGGCGGCTATAAGCCGCTGAGGGAGTGCCTGGGAAGGCAAATTAATTATGAATAACTTAATTAGAGTTGGCCTGAGCCGCCAGGAGGCAGTTCAGGTCGTTTGAAAGTTTATTAGGCGGGTCCGAGAGGGAGTTCCTCGGCCTGCGGACGCTATAGCGGGAGGGGAGTGGGGCTGCATAATTAGCAGCCTCACGAATAAAATGATTGGAATGCGACTCTGAGGCTTTGAAGAAGTTCTCAGAGAGTTTTTTAAGGAATTGTTGAATTGTAGGGAGCTCTAGGTCCCGATGAAGGTCGGCATTGCGGACGTACCAAGGTGCGTTCGCAGCTCGACGACAGAAAAGGTTTTGAACTACTTGGAGTTCATTAATAATTTTAGGGTTAGAGTGGGCGAAAATGGGGCCCGCGTAGGACATGACTGGTCGTATACAGACCTTATAAAGGGTACGCTTGTTTCTGAGGGACATTCTACTGTGTCGGCCCAACATACTGTTGAGCCTATTCAGGTAAAAACGTGCGTGACGGGTTACTCTTTTGACGTGGGGCCTGAAAGTTAGCCCTGTGTCTAGAGTGACACCTAAATATTTGGCAGACGTATGCCAGGGGACAGGGGTCCCTAGCATACGTATTGGTGGAGTGTTTTTGAGACGGCGTCGTTTATAATCGAAGTGAACGGCGGAGCTCTTCTCCGGGTTCACATCGATGCGCCATTTTTTGAACCAAGCTCCTAGGTCATCAACTGACTTTTGGACCTTGTTCCGTATGAAAGGTAGCGAGATACCTTTGCAGTAGAGAGCAGTGTCGTCTGCGAAGAGGGAGAGCTGAACACCTTTCGGCGGAATGGGAATGTCGTTGGTGAACAGTATGTACAGCAGGGGAGCAAGAACTGAGCCCTGAGGGACACCAGCTTTGATGGGGCGCTGTGAAGATAGCGTGCCTTCGTGTCTAAAACGAAAGGTACGATGATTAAGATAAGAGGCCACGAGACGTACTAGACGATCGGGGAGACCTATTTTGTATAGTTTGTAGATAAGGCCTGTATGCCAGACTCTATCGAAGGCTTTGGCGATGTCGAAAAAGACCGCGATAGTCTTATGACGACGGGGATAAAAACCGCTGAGGATATATTCCACAATACGGTGAACTTGTTGGGGGCAGGAGTGTTTCGCTCGGAAACCGAATTGATGGGGAATGATAAGAGGGTCACCGTCTGTGGGAAACAGATGGCGCCTCATGCGATTTTGAATGACTCTTTCAAAGAGCTTGCCCATGGCCTTGAGGAGGCTAATGGGACGATGACTGGAGGGGAGATTAAGAGGCTTGCCTGGCTTGGGAATACCAATCACAGTTGCCTCTTTCCACGTAGTGGGAAAGTAACTAAGGTTGAAGCAGGCATTGAAGATAATAGATAAAAGGGTTAGCACCTGCTCAGGAAAGTTTTTTAGGGCTTGGTTGGAGATGCCATCCGTTTTATAAACACAAATTGCACATGGAAAAACATCCAGACTGGAAACAATTAGCGGCAGGCTATACAAATATATGTCCCAAGCGGGAATTAAATCCACAGCCCGCAGCGCTATAACCAAACGTTTAGTTATTGAGCTACTAAGTCATTTATTTGGTAAAAAAAAACCCCACACTAGAATTTTCTCCTGTATCGCGGAGGCAGTTTACAAACACAAATTGCACAAGGACAAACATCCAGACCCGCGACTTGTTCCGTGCGGGATTCGAATTCGCGGCCCCCAGCGCAGCAAGTCATTGCTAAGCCACTGCGCCACGGAGCCGTCAATAATTACATAAGTATATATTTTATAGGGTAAAATTTTACGTTGTAGTTGTAGCTGCAGTGTTATATATTGCAACACGAATATCTCGACCGGGTAACGATCACGCTCGCACAGAATCCAGCGTGTAACAGCAGAATAATGTTGCTGTGTTTCGCTTGGTGAGTGAGGAGCACAATAAACCATTTTTACAGTAACGAGGTTTCCATCTTAGACCTGAGAGTTGACAACGTATCTGAATTTTGATTTTTATCAAGGATAAATGCAGGGATATCACAACATTCGCTTATTAAAAATACGGAAGTTAAATTTTGAATTTCAAAACCTTCACCATTACCGTTACAGCCTATTAAAGTCCACTGATGAACATAGGCCTACCCGATAGATTGCCTCATAAGGGGATATTTGTCATATTTACCACCCTTGGCAAGCGAGCGGGCAACCGCAGTCTTTTTATTTTTAGTCGTTACTGGGAAGATGGTGCTGGCCATCTCCTAATATGTTTCCCTCTGTCGCCTCTTACGACATCCACGGGATGTTATGAGGTAGTGTATATTCTTACACCGCCATTCACGGTAAACTCAAAAACTCAATACATCATGGCATATTGCACGGAAAATAAAAATAAATCTTCTGAAGTGTAAGAGCAAGCTTACATTTATGTTGATAGATAAAATGCACAGTATATTACGTTTTACTGAAGACAATTGATATTACCTATTGAGACATTGTGTCAACGTATAAAACATATAAAAATGTATTTTTATATATTTTTAATTTTCATATATTTCGTATTGTCCTTATTGTGTTTGTTTGTTTTATATTAGTATTTTACTCGTACTTGTAACAATTATTAAGTTATCGTACAGTTATCGTTTTTTTTAAACATGCTGTAACTACCTTTAAATGAAAACATGTAAATCTTAGTTCCTAAGCCTATTGTCACATTTTTTTTAAAACAACATGTTATTTCGTTGGTGGTTCTATCAATAAAATAAAAAATTATATTATGTATTTGATGGTTGATGAAATACTGCATCCAAATTAGATTAGAAAGTAAATCATATTAAATTTTTATTAATTAAGAGGCATGATATAAGCTGCGGGAAAAAAATCCGCAGCCAAATTACATATTACAAATGTAAACAAACCAATTAAGAAATAATCCTTTAATTTTCCTAATTAGAGGTAAGTTTTCAAAGCGGTTACAATAAAAACAAATAAATTGAATATGGAAAGGGATGTTTGTTAATGAGTTAAAATCCAAACAGGTATATAAGGTTATATAAGGGTATATAAGGGTTAAATACATTTTGACAGGCATTACTATCACCCAGTGCATTTAAGTGACATGTTTCCAGTGTGTCAATATAATACTTTAGACATGTCGTCTGTAAGTGATAATTCTAGTAATTACGAAAGTTCAACCTTTGATGCTGATATTATGAATGCCTCGAACTTTGAAAGTCACATAGTAAGTCAATTTATTATTTCAATTACTATTATGTACGACAAATGATTCCTTCAAAGGAGGAGGGTTTTTAAGCATACTGTGTTAGCTCTGGGGATATGCGATTGTCATAAACCTTCATAATACGCTAGCTAACCGAGTGTGTAGTGTTTTTTTTAAACAAGAACAATCACTAACAGTTACACAGTCCACCTGATGGTAAGGATTCTGTATTGAATTTAAAAAACTGTGAAGACTGAGTTCAAAAAAGTATAAATAGTAAAAAGGTACTCTGACCTGTAGTGTATTGAAGAATTTAAGCCCCGACTTCAGAAGTCATAAATCTCGTGGAAATTATTGTATTACTTTTTTTGCGTAGTTTTTCCTTTTTGTTAGTGTTTTCATATTTACTTATTGAGTGGACTAACACAATTTTAAGGTAACTAGAGTGTAAGGCTTATTATTATATTATTAAAGTTATAACCTATATATATCCCACTGCTGGACACAGGCCTCCTCTTATTTCTGAAAGGGTTTTAGGGCAATGAAATATAAACTTCACATCACACATATAGACGTGTCATATATTCCACTATCTACTCAAAGACTACTTGCTTAAGTTTTTCAGTGCCAATCTTCTTATAACTATCACGTCCATTTTTGAAGTGAAAATTTCTTTAGACACTTTGGGTACTTTTAGGATGGGGAAACAGCACTGAACTCACCAGACCGTCACGCTCAGATACATAAAATTGATGAAAGTAATGTTGAAAATACAATTGATTAAATTTTATAAAACTGATATGTATTCATAAATGTGTTAGTATTATATAATAATAATCATTATTTTTCATGTAAAACAGCGCAATAAATGAAAATTTTATTACTATATTAACACGTTGATAAAAATAATTCGTATTCGTAATAAAAATATTTATACGTGGTAGAGCCATGCTGCAGCTATATTAGTAGTATAGCTATAGCACGAATGGGTCGGCTCGACCGGGGAAGGACCACGCTCTCACAGAATACCAGCGTAAAATATCAGCTTAATGCTGCTTTGTTTCGTATGGTGAGTGTAGAGAACCGGAGACCCTTTTTACTGGCAAAGAGGCATTCCATCTTAGTCCTCACGGGTGACAACGCATCTGCATCTCGAGTCTTTATTGAGGATAGATGTAGATGTCTATGGGTCGCAGTGGCCACTTACCATCAGGTGGACTGTGTGCTCGTTTGTCACCCTATCCTATAAAAAAAATAATGTTTACAAGTTTGTGAAGCTAAGAAGTTTTTACTTTTGATGTGCAGTCGTACGACTGACAGTTCTTTTCTTATTTCTTAGACATGCAGAGGAAACCTCACGATGTTTTCCTTCACCGCCGAGCACATGGTAAATGGTACTTAAAATTGCAATTAACTATTTCATTGGTGTTGGCAAGGAACCCGGTTTGTTCGTATACTGTGGAATTAATAGCGAGCGCTTAGTAATAATAAAAAAATTGAAATCGCACACAAAAATACAGTTCAAAGAAAAATCTTCTCCTCTTTGAAGTCGGTTAGAAATCGAAATGCAAATGTCATCTCTAAAGACCTTGTTACTAAAACTTGTTACTAAAATGTTCTGATTCTCATTATAGACCATTCAAAACAAACTATAATTGTCAAGCGACTTTTCATTACAAGACGGTCGAAGTCATATGCCTCTGAACGATGAGGTAAATTTATGTAATTTTTATAATACAGAGACAAACATGTTTATAAAAATGTTTTAATGTTTATTTCTCTTTTCTAGCGTCATGACATCGAGCCGTCCACGTATAGATGGGATGAATTCAGAGCGACTTCATCGCACAGGATCCAGATCAATCCTGAGAATAACCAAACACATTTTTATAATTACACCTGTGATAATCCCGAATATAGCTGTAAAGTGAGACAATAGTTATAGTTATTTTTGACTACATTTGAATTAACGTCTTTAGTATAGAAATTAAAAAGATATTTTTTTCAGACACAAAACTCGGTGAGAAGAACAGAATACCTGCCATTTATGAAACTTCACAATCGTGGAAGGTGTCGGCGCCATTTAATAAGTATATACAATGAATATTAATCATTTCCCTTTTCTTTGTTATGCTGTTTTGCTATTCTGTTCAATAAACCAATTTATTTTTATTTTAGGTCAAAATTCACAAAATTTTATTATGAAGCGCAAACGAAGGACTGTTTTTAATACACAACAAATATTAATGTTGGAGAATATTTTTAAGAAGAATCCATATGTAAGCAGAGAAGAAAGATATAAGTTAATGGAAATGTTAAACGTAAGCGATCGAGTAATAAAAGTGTGGTTTCAGAACCGTCGTCGATTATCAAGCAAAAGAGATATAGAACTATTAGTTAATTATAACTCAGATTCGTCTATGGAAGAAAACGGTTCGAATTTGACTTTAGACTATGTTGAATCGAAAATAAATCAAGCTGATGAATTTGGGTATGTGACGTTGGATGACAGAGCAATGAGTGAGTTAATAACTGTTATTGACTCTCGTCTTACTATCGAAATTGATTTGGAGGAGCCTTGCAAGAAATTTAAAGATGGTACTTCTACTAACAATATAATTTATGAACCTATTTCACCAGTAAGCCTGCAGGATGGTGAGGAAGAAGAACATTTTTGTGTATCTCGGTGGGAGCCTCATGAACCTGAAGAGTCCTTAAGACGTTTATTTGACGTACAAGCTTTTATAACCAAGTGATATTTTACCTCAATAAAATACCCTGATTATTTATTATTTTATTGTTTTTTTTTTCTTAAGAATCGTGATAGTTCAGAGTCTAAGCGCCTGCTGTAAATTTTACACACTAATAACTCCCAGGTTCAATTGACGCCAATGAAATTAATAATTGCAATTTTAATTGTTGCTTTACCATGTACTCGTATTTAACAGAAAAATCATCGCGAGGAAGAGTTAAGTCCGCAACAACGTACTGGTAATGCCACAAAGAACAGTTCTGAGCCACATGCGCTTCCTTACAGTGACATCCAATTCCTTCCTTCCAAACATGACAACAATGGCAATCATCCCTCATGAGCAATGGCATAAAGGCAATTTGATTAGTTTTATTTGAAACTTTATGATTTATACATTTAAAAGTCGTGTGTTCAAATCCACCATTTGACACTGTCGTGAATCACTTCTAATACAATACATTACACTTACTTTTAATTTTCAACATAACCAATATTTTTACATAAAATAGTTATATAATAACAAATTGTAAAATTAATTATGTCCTTCTAGCTACTTTCGATCTAGGTGTAATTCTGATACTATTGAAAGCTTATCTTGCCTAAATTAGGCTTGTTTAAATTATAAGGAGCGTGGGGAGATCATAAGATATTCGATACAATTTATGTGAAACGTGTTAGCTCTTGCTAGGATTCGAACCCAGAGGCCACGATAGCGTACTCTGTTCACAAGAGCAGGAGGTCGTCAAATTATATTTATACGAGTAAGCTTATCAATAATTGGATTGGAAATGAAAACTTTTTAATTATTTCATTGTACGACCGATGATATTAAATAATAATAATTCATTTCTGTCGGTATTTTTCCTGAGTGTTGAAATAAAGCTTGCCAAAGATGTTGACAAAAATTAAAAAACAAAATTGTACCTACATTCTTACCGTGTCTGTCTATGTTGATTTATTTGTATATTTTAATTTAAGTTTTTTTCCCTTTCTGTGTTGATAAATAAATAAATTTTTACTTAATGTTATAATTAAAGTTAAAGAGATTAATTACTAACATAAATTAAATTTTAATAGTTTTAGTCTATTGTAATCTTTACAAATGTTTGATAATATAGTTCAATAAAATGAAAATTATATACAATGAGCATTTATTCAATGTAAAAATAGCATGAAATTTTTAAAAAAAAATAACAATCATTTTAAATATATAAGTAGTATTTCCCAGAAGATAACTTACTTTGTGCTTTTACCTAATTAAGTATTTAATATGTACATCATAAAGATTGTTATAGCTAAAAGTCAATTGTTTTTACAAGGAAATATAAGATGAAAATTTACTGTTAGCCGCAGTGCTAGGGTTTTGGTTACTAGCATCTGGTGTTGCCAAATATGTAAAATACGGGTCCTGTGTGAACGGCAAATTTGCGGTTCTCGATTGTAGATTGTTATCCTCGTAGGTTGGCGTTACTGTCGTCGAAATAGGCGCATTGAATATATACGTATCTGTTGAAGGTGGATGCATAACAACGCCACTAGACAATGAATTATAATACGAACCGGTCGAGTACCGTGTCATATCCTCGTTTAGTTTCAAGTTAACTCCGTTTGGCACATAGGTGTCCGACTGGAGCGAAGATAGTGCATTAGAATTCGGCTGCAGTGAATCATCGGTACCGTAACGATAAACCTCGGACATCGGTGAGTAAGTAGCTCTACTCGTTCCTGCACTATAGTACGAGGAATATGACAAGTTCGGAGTATACGATGGCAGCTCAATTTTCGTGGATCTTTCCATCAAGTTTTGTGGACCTTTGATCACAGTTTTTAAAGTGTTAATTGAAGAGTAGTCTGAAGGTCTGGATAACATGTCGTTGGAACCAACGTACATTTTATGATGACTTGCGTGACTATCTGTGAGCAATCTTCGGTGACGATCATGCCCTCCGCAGCTTCTGCCATGACTCATCTTATGGTCTTGACTGGGTGACGTTTCTTTGGAACTCGATGGGCTGCTGTCATCCACTGATGAGGAGGGTTTGTTATGCTTATTGTCCTTCTTATATTTCATTCTTCTATTTTGAAACCATATTTTAATTTGGCGTTCTGAAAGTTGGAGATAATTTGCAAGTTCGATGCGTCTTGGTCGACATAGATAGCGGTTTTGATGAAATTCATTTTCCAACTCCACTAATTGTGAACTCGTGTATGCTGTACGGGCTCGCTTAGTAAATCCTTTCTGGTATGAAGTCGTGTCGGAAGGCATATCTGAAAAATTATAATAAAAAAATTATATTTGTCTTTTCTTAACATATTTTTTTTAATTTTATTTTAATTCCTACCGTTTGATAAAGAAGAAGCTGCACTGATGACAGGGTTATTTATCGTCGAAGAAGTTTTGCTCCAGGAAGGACTCTGAAACACGTTGTAATTTTATGTGAAATACTAATAAAAATGCGTCCGACTGCTTCAATGTAATTAACACAATAAAGTAAAACTATATAATATACTATATAATATTCCTTAATTGCTTCTATCTGTAACTAAATTAAATTGTCATTAAAAATCCGGTCATTTTGTGGTTAATCACAGTTTTGACCAAAGTTTTTAAGAAAACTACTATGCGAATAGAACCGGTATATTGGAAACATTAAGGTGTATATTACTTTGCAATATTTACCTGGTTGGGAAAACTGGATTCACGTAAATCGCTTATGTCCCTTACAGTATCTTTTACAACATCGTTTTCTATACCACTTCTTTGATGACATGGTACAGGTTCATTGTGTAAATAATTTCTATTGTAATTCATTTGGCTGTCCATTTGAATATTAGAAGAAAATATGTCACTTTTATTCAAACAATTATGGGATGTCACTTCCTCAGTTCCCGAACCGTAATCGTTATGGGAACCGTTACTTATATTTTCATAGTTGGATATTTGATAGTCATATTTTGTCTGTAAATCTTCCTGTGCGCTGGTAGCAGTATATGACTGATGAAGCCCAAGAATATCGTGAATACTAAAACCTGTCGAGTCCCTTGAGTTATAATCTTGCGAAAAATTATTTGAAACAACGCTTAATGCTTCTGTCTTGCAATCTAGAAACACATTTTCTTGCGTTCCGTAGTTAACCCCTTCGGATAAGATGTCTTCTACTCCATGTGAAGTTAGGGTGTTCAACTTGTATATATGTTTTTGGTCTTGTTCTAGCACTAAATTTGGATTATATTGCGTTGTAATTGTAGAAGAGAATTCGGATGAAGTGGAGTCCCTCGATTCTTGATCAGATTGCAAACTTGGAGGTGATGGAGTCGGTGAAGACATTTTTACAACTTTTAACACTGATTTCAAAATATACGTCACAATGTCATCGATACACAAACATATACACTAGGCGACCGTACCGTTAAAGATTTGTTTACTAAATGCTTTTTCTTCACCTGAATGTCGTTAATTTGGTAATGACTTTATTCGTTTGTGTGCTGCATTCTGTTAGAGCCGATTTGTTTGTGTGCAACCGATAAGACGGACATACCGGGTCTCCGATAATAAACGAATACAAGATAATAGTTTAAAATATATCTCAGTAGCTAAAACGCCTGTCACAACTCCTTAAACAAAACTAGATATTTGGGTCTCGGTTACTGATACGTACAGGATTATTCGAATGCATTTTGTTTCCTTGTTTAACTTGTGCACTTAAGTTTTACGTAGTAATAAGAAAATATTAAATTTAAAATTTGTTATTTTATTTTAAAACCTGATTTAATAGTTAGATAAATGAACAGCAATAAAATTATGTTACTAAAACATTTAAAGTTGTATACTTTACTTTAAAATGTTCTTTGTCCCAGTATTTAGGTTGATACGTATGCCTTGAACTAGGTGGCGATATGACGAAACCACAATTGCTTACGTAGACAAGTCCAAGCGAAGGTAACGTATGTAGGCCCCTTACCTACACGCCGATACAAAACTCGTTAAGATAAAATTCAATCTTATATGAAAAATTTAATACCTAATGTATCTGTAGCGTTTTAAATTAAATTCGATAATCATTCTGCATGAAGAAATTTAAAATAAAAAGTTGATATCTCATAATAAAATATTTTTGTATACGTTATTAAACATAGGTATATTTGTTGTTTATTCTATTTGGTCTCAATAATCTCATAATATGAGAATACAATAACAAATTTGCAGCGGTATTATGGCCGCTATAAAATTAGATCGGTTTGATCTGGGAAGGACCACACTCTCACAGAATACCAGCGTAAAATAGCTGCATCATTTTGCTGTGCCTTTTGAGGCGAGTGTAGAAACTCACAGCTCGTCTTTTTTGGTGACAAGGTGGTCATCTTGGTCCTCAGCGTCTTTTGATTTTTCATAGATGTATATGGGCCAAATGTATAAGTTGGACTTTGTATCACAGAATTTAACGTTCTATTGCTGCGCAGGAATTATCAGCTCACGATGAAAAGCAATGTACAACCACTGCGTGTTACCAGTGATGATCTATGGATCTGATCCGTGGTCCTTCACTGTTGGCCGTATGAGGAAGCTCAACGTAGCTCAGCGAGCTATGGAGAGGGCTATGCTCGGGGTTTCTCTGAGTGATAGACTTAAAAACGCGGATATCTGCAGAAGAACCAAAGGAACCGACATAGCCTAAGGGATTAGTAGTAAGCTGAAGTGGCAATGGGCCGGTCATATAGCTCGAAGACCCGAGAACCGATGAGGAAGAAAGGTTCTCGAGTGGAAGCCTCGTACCGGCAGGCGAAGTGTATGGAGTGGCGACCTGGTAAGACATGCAGGAATTCGATGGACGCAGGTGGCAAATAACCATACTTTTTGACATTCTTTGGGAGAGGTCTATGTTCAGCAGTGGACTTGTGAAGGGCTGTAATGATGATAATGATGATGAACAGGTTATTGTAAATACGAAAAATAATCAAATTTAGAAACTGACAAAATCCGTGTATAGCGTCAGGGTTCCGATATCCTTCAATAAACATCTATGAAGTGTGTCTGTCTGGTCTTAAGTAGCTAAAAATTATTAATATTTTTATATATGTATATTTTTTTCGATATAGAATTAAATTTTAAAACAAGAAAAAAATACTTAATGTGTTTTCATGATGTAAATTAAAATAAATTTGCAATATTCCTTTACGTCCTATCCTGCACGTAATTAGGGGAAGCAAATTTTTTTCGCAATTCTGAGTCTGATAGTCAATATGTAACTTGGTTTGATTTACCACGTGCTCTCCGGTGAAGGGAAATATCGTGAGCAAAATTTGCATTACTTAAAAATTAAAAAAAAAGGCAAAGACATATGAATGAAGTCCACCTACACGCATTGAGGCAGTAGACTATAACTTTATAACTTGCGTTAAAGCTACAGTGGGTGTTTCCTGTTGAAAGTTACATCCTATATGTGTCCCTCTGCTGTAAATTTAAAAATTTTGTTCTTTTAGCTCATATATTTTAAGTTTAAAAAAAAAGTGAATTAATAACTACATTAAGACAGTGGTAGAGCCATGCGGCAGCTTTTGCTGTTGCACGGATGGGCCGGCTCGAACCGGGGTGGTACCACGACCTCACAGAATACCAGCGTGAAGTAGAGGTTTACCTCTGCGTTTCGCTTGGTCTCGCGTTTACTGGAAATGAGGCATTGCATCTTAGTCCTCACGGGTGAAAACGCATCTGCATTTTGATTCGCAAACGAGGATAGATGTAGATGTCTATGGGCCGCAGCAACCACTTACCATCAGGTGGACTGTGTGCTCGTTTGTCACCCTTATTCTATAAAAAAAATTAAACTGGTAGACACCATTTTCAAAATAATTATATATGTAAATGAGAACTATTCACTTATAATATATATGTCGCGTAATTATGCGAAAAATTAAAAAAACGCATGTTTTGAAACATGAAAGTTGAATTTTTAAATTTAAAATAAAGTATACACCCATTAATACGGCTATTAATTAAGAGTTAATAATCAGTAAGAGCATCCATGACATTCCTAACGCATCTGCATCGTTTGGGTATACTCGGAATAGGGTTGTTCCCATATCCTGTTGAGGAATATTGTCCCAGGTTTCTGATTCTATTAATTAGCATAACACGTTGTTCTTCTGTAACCAGACTTTTAGGTAAATCTCTCAAATCTCTTTTTTGGAGCTTATACCGAGCATCGATTGAGCATCAATGGGATTTAAATCTGGGGATTGCGCTTGCCATTCTAGGTCCCTGACCTGTGACATCATGTTCGTGTAACCAGGCTGTTACGACCCTGGCTGTATGTGAACAGGCATGGTCGTGCATAAGTAGGATATTTTGACCAATTTGTGTTTGATGTGGCAAGACCATTGGTTCTAAAATCTCATTATGGTATTTTTCAGCCATAGTGCCCTGTATCCAAACGAGGTCCGTTCTTCCACCAAAATGAATTTCGCCCCACACCATAATTGTACCACCTTGGTATATATGAACTTCTTGAGGGTGTTGAAACCGGCTTCTACGATCAGAAACTCTCCAAACAAGTACTCTCCTCGAATCAGGATTAAAACCAAATCATTCTGTTCATATCTTATCTAGCCCATTGTAGACTTCGTCCACGGTTTCCTCTTCTTAGAGGTAAAACCCTTAGTCGTCTACGAGCATAAAGGTTAGCTTCGTGCAGTGTGTAATATATATATATATATATATATATATATATATATATATTTGTTAATTAGTTAATGTTAATTATAACTGCATAGTCATACTCTTTACGCTGGTCAGATGTTTATTTATTACCAGCGATCCGCTCCGGCTTCGCACGAGTGATTTTGGGATCTCGACAACAACCGGGTCCAATTGTAAATCTACATTCTAAACCACCCAGGGACTCGCTCAAACACTCAAAAAAATATCGTCGAAATCAGTCGAGCCATTTTCGAGTTTTAGCGAGGCTAACGGACAGCATTTACAATATAATACAATAACTATATTTCAGGCATCAAGGACTTAAATATTAAGAACATTGCCCATAGCAATGTATACCTTAACCTAAATATATGTATATATAAAATATAAACATAACTATTTAGGGAACTTTCTTCTTTGGCGCGTCCCTGTATTGACGAAATACCACCAGAGGGCCAGAAATCGGGAAGAAAGTTTGAAGGCAGTTGACTTTTGTATATAGGGATACACTAGTATTCTTTTTATTGCAAGGAATACTAGCGATGCTTTTAACACTATATTCCCGTTAACTATTTTAATTAAGCTTAAAATGCTTGTGGACGGAGCAGTTTCGTTTTTGTTTTTCATCTTATTAAATGAAATTATTTTTTTGATAAAACTTATCTATGACATCGGGACGTCAAACACCTCAGTCCACCCGTGACCATTCGGGAATTAAAAGTTAAATTAAACGCAATAAAATCCTTAAAAATTGTTTAATTTAATGTGTAGTCTTCGCGTAAATATAAGAAATCATTTTTCATCTTAGTTAAGATACTTGTACTATTATCTATTCTGTGGTTACGGAAATAGTTTATCCATAACACTAGAAAATGAGAGTTTTACTCTTAACTTCCGTAAAATTGTGTTTTTGTAATGTGTGCTGTGCCCTTTGATTCGACATCGTCTAACCGATAGCGTAAAGTCGTCAGCTGCACAACTGGTGCATCCTGAGGCTATTGTACTGTTTTGATTAATGCGTTTGCCTCGTGAGAGCTATACGCTTTTGCGGCTTACTTTTATTGCCGGTGTTGATGTTGAATAAAAAGTTGCTTTAACCGTAGGAATGTATCGTAGCTTAATGCTTATTTGGTGTAGATTTCTGGAATTTGTCTATAATACGAGTATTTATTTATTTTTTTTTTTATTTATTTATTTAGGCTTACCAACTAAACACATACAAAACATTATTATTAAACATTTGCAGTTATAAACAAAATTATACTAAATATGTATTTAACTTAAAGGTATGCACAACATTTCAACATGAAATTTAAAATTAGTTATGAAATTAACAGATAATTAAATATGATATATACACAAAGACTATTCTATGCAATACAGGTAGAATTATAATTTGGTAGAGAGCTTAACATTGTATAGTTTAAAGTTGTATAATTTAAAGTTTTAATTTTCAGTTTGAGTGTAGTATAGAAATATTTTCTTTTTTACGGAACCCAGACTATCACTAAAGAGAATCTATATTACATTTACCGAATATATCATTGTACTTTCTCATCATAGAACACAGAGGAGAGTTGTTACCATAATTTTTGCTATTGAAATTTACACTAAAGGGACTAAAATTACAC